TATATTGCGGCTCGTGGTGCAGTTATTGACAGGGTACGGAAACCAAGGTGTGGCTTATTGTGATCATGCTTCTTGCTCTGTGACTCCTTTTTTTTTTTTGGTGTTCTTATTGGCTATAGTGACGCTGCCTGATTGGTGTTGGAGTAATATTAAGATTCTTGAGACTCACCATTCCCTGTGTTTCGGAAGTTTATTGAGTGCCTATTAGCGCCGAGATTTTTCTGTGGCACGCTCTTACGGTTTCCTTTCGTGGCGTCACGAACAGGATTTGCCTTGTCGTGATTGGCAGGGTGGCATCTGCCTCGCCGTGATTGGCAGGATTAGCCTCGCTGTGGACCGTTGATTGGGCTGGCATTACGTAATAAAGGGAGGTATGGTTTGGCCAATCGCGAACTTCGACCACAGCGATGCTTTTGGTCGCACACGTAGCTAATACGGGTTTTACAATGACCGGTGTTGTGGGACCGAACTAGAACATACGCATTATTGAGCGGCGGTCCTGGTTTCACAAGTTTGGAGTTGCGGTCAGGATGTTTTTACCTTAGAACGTACATAGAGGCAGTGATCGCAGCTCTACATCCCTCTACAACTCAGGAAGCCCCGTCAGTTTACGTCTACTTCGTTCTTTTTCAACGTGAATAACTCGAAGGCCAGACAAATACCCGAAGAAGACGAGATTGGATCGAGGTCTCTTTCTGTTTTGTGCTTGTCCTTTTATGTCATTTGCGTCATTTATGTGAATTTTGCTAATTGCTAACTAGATAATGCACCTTAATAGTACACTACTTTATTTTCTTCCCCGCAAAAAAAAAAAGAAATTCAGATGAGGAAAACGTTTCTTTAATCCAGCCAGGACAACTATTGGGGAGCCCTGCATAAAATATACGAGGCTCCAAGCTGATTCTACGAGCCTTCCTAAGCAACTTTATGCCATCAACTATGCAAAAAAATAAAACTGAAAACTATCCTTTGGTCAGCTAATTACATGTCGTGCCTCTCAAAGTTTAGAAGAACGGACAATCGCGCCCATGCACCTCTGACAAGAACGACCGCGAAAACTGCTTTGGCAGCCCGTTTTCCTCGTACAAGAACAACCTGGTCGTTGCTGCGACAACAACCCTCTGGAATGCAGACGAAGGTGAAGCTGTATTTCTCTTTTTACTTTCTCCCCTTCCCAAAAGACCAACTCGATTTACTGCGACGCACTAACTTCGTGGAAATCTCGACACACAGCCCTCCTTTCTACCGGCGCCAAAAAAAAAAAAAAGCGGGGAAGAAAGTGGAGTTGGATAAACACACTCAGCTGGAAAAATAAATATACAAGAACAGACGACGAAACTGAAGAAAGCACGATGCGCGTGCTAGATGGGTTTATTTTTTTTTTCTTCTCATTTCTGGTTCTTGTTCTAGCGTGAAGCACGGTCTGGTGCCGTGCCGCACATTCTGGAAGCTAAAGTGACCTTCGCTTTGCTTCCCTAGCGCTGTCCCCGTGGCGGCGACGGTCCCATGCCTACTGTTGACTGTCGTTATGTTGACAGGAAGCCTTCAGTTGGTAAGCAGCACGTCCCGCGTTTAGCTCGCGGTTGAAAGATCGCAGTCCACCATGCGCGGGCTCATACTTCATTTGACAGTCGTGCAGTTGGTACACAGTCATTCAAATATAGTGTGATAGGGACCTCTGAATTTGAACCTTTAAAGGTCCTGAGCAATGACAGCCCTCATCGCGTGGCGATTGAGGAAGACAGTGCTACTTCCAAAACTATCGGTGGTATTCATTGCGCGCCATATTTGAAGGCGGTGCTCACAGCACATGTTTAGAAATAGCCGTCACATCTATTTTGTAACTACTATCTTGCTGGTGTAATTAACGTGGCGGAAGCCTTAGGGAAATACGTCGTAATTCTGTGCTCAGCAGCAGCGGTACAGTGAACAAGAATATAGGGGATCCAGTTCTCCTAGTTCACTGTAGCAGCTGAGTCAATTATGGCCGCCAATGAATACGGTCTATAGGCCAATGCGAAGTTTAGCGTCTGCGCATGCGCCCTGCTGATAGCAGCGCCACCGCGGCGGAGTGACGTCAGCGCCGCATGTTGGTATATAGAGAAACGTTCGTACCGGCAACAAGATGTTTTGGTGGCGCCCCCTTACGGTTCATATCCCTGATCTCACGACCAGTATTGCAAGTAGCGAGCGGCAAGTTCTATGGTGCATGAAACGCGCGGTGGAAGATTATTCATCACGTTCTCTTAATCAACACCATCAGAGTTGTGAGTCTAATATCTTAGTTACACTAGCGTTCCTGCCATTAAGCCAACAGCAGTTCACTAAATCACGATCGGCAGGCGCTGCACGGCGGGCGCCAACTTCAGCTAACTAATAGGGGTTCGCCTCAATAGAGCGAAAGATGCACTCTAAAAAAAGTCTGTGCGTCTACTTTCCCGCACAACACTCGGAGAACCAATCAGCGCAACTTACGGAGGCAGCTTAGCGAATGACGATGCCGAAACATATGTTTAGACGAAAAAACGCCGTCTGAGTTGTGACATTAAGCAATGCAAGCGTGACGTTTTGCATTGCTTAATGTCACAACTCAGTCTGCGCTTTTTGGTCTAAACATATGTTTCGGCATCGTCATTCGCTAAGCTGCCTCCGTAAGTTGCGCTGATTGGTTCTCCGAGTGTTGTGCGTGAAAGTAGACGCACAGATTTTTTTAGAGTGTGGCGACACCTGCCGCATCGCCGTCCATGGCCAGCGCCAGCGAAGCACTTACTATTGCGGAAGAATAGGGGAAGTATCCAAAAAGTATCGGTGCAGAAACTATTGTCGGAAGAGGTATGATTAAGGAGCCAGAGCTGACGCTAGAACGATCAAGGCATGTCGAGTAAGCCAAAGCACGGCGGCGAGAGCGTCCAGTGTGATGTCGGTGCCGATAAAACTTTTGTTATATATCTCTTGCTTGAATTCGCGTGAAATGTTCGGAATATAATTTCTTAACTCTAAAACAAAAGAAGTAATCGCATTTTGTTTTAAACGTTTACAATGAACGAAAAGTGTGGATACAATTCATTTGCATCACTTCTAAAAAGGTACACCAACATAAATTTTTGTTTCGTTTCGCTTTCAACTGTGTTGCGTGATGGGCATCTCATCTGGGCTTGTTAGGCCAATGTACCGTGTAACACCGGACAACTTAGTTGAGCTCATTGACAGTTGGGAGGTGCCAACAGTGGTTCACTTAGTGACAGTTGAGAGCGCTAGTGTAACTAGGGTATTACACTGCTCTTATTTCCGGCAATGAGAGCAGATATGATCATACCAATGACGTCTCAGTGAGCGTTTGACCAATCGTGAGTGACTGATCAAAGCGACACTTTTGGTAGCGCACGACGCTAATAGGGGGCGAGGTTATCTACTGCCTGCCATGGCTAAGTCCGTGGCTGCTGTGCGCGAGCTGACGGTCAGCTTCCATAGAGTGCTTTGCCACGTGCATTGCGCGTCATCAAGCTTGCCGGTCTTAGCAGCCCGTAAGTTAGAGCTCGTTCTGAGTATGCGGTGTGAACTGGAATATACGATCCGCTGAATTCCCCAATACAAATGATAAACATCCCGCTTGATCGTTATTGTATATACGTTTTTACCTGTGCATCTTCTGATGTGTCTGCTGTACGCACTGGTGATCAACGTTGACTCCGTCGCTGCTGTGTGCAATCTTACCATGAGCTTCCACGACGCCTCCAAGACTGTAATTCTTCTCGGGGGATAAGTGAACACCGAGCTCAATTATGGCGCCAAATAGATACCACCCATTTCGCCTTCGTTCAATGTTTTCTAGAAACGTTAAAAAAAGTATCATGCCCGGTGCCATTTTTCACCTTTCGTGGGTACGGCAAGGCTTTACTTACTTTTCGAAGCGACGAGCATGTGCATGTGCAGATACAGCAGGCTGGGCCGCAGATTTACAAGAATAAAGATGTTGTATCCGGCAAGCAAGTCTTCCAAAATCCGCGTTTAGCGCATCGGAGCGCAAGAAGGGGCACGTCGATCAAAGGGCAACATAAATATTCCGCAGGGAACGCGGTATGACGAGCCAGCAAGCGCGCGCTGTTATTGGTTGATGCCCAGTTTAGTGTATGCGTGTGTGTGTGTTGGGTGTGAAAGCAGGTGGGCGCGTTTGGCGGGTGAACAAGCGCACAAGGTGCACTAGGTGTGGTAGAACTTGAAGGCCGTTAGACCTTTTTACAATCGCTGTGTGACTTTTGAAAGCGCTCTGGTCTCTATGCCCCAAAGCAGAGTGTGTGTGTCGAAGGAAAGCTTTGACTAGTGGGATGTCAAGTAATGAAGGGTTGTGTGACTGACGGACGACAGCTGAAGCTCTGCTTTGGAAGCAAGAGAAGCCTTGCCGATCCAAAGCTCCCGGCTGTAGAAAGAGTCTGCTATTCGCGGTAGCAGAAGACGGTTGAAGTCAATGGTTTAAAGAGATTAAAAACAAGATTTTGTCTTCAACGTGAACGTTCGACAGAAATCTGACTGGTTGAAGGGGAAAATGATTAAAAAAGGACATCAAACTGTCATCATTAGGATGCCAACGTCTTGAGGCCTGCTGAATGGCGTACCAACTTTTTTTTGAGTGGGCGGAGGGGGGGGGGGGGCGGGGGGGGAGGGGGAAACCAGCACCCCCCCCCCCCCCCCCCCCCCCCCCCAGGGCCGGAGGCCGGGGGACAACACACGCCTTGCCCCCCCACCCCCCCACTCTGAGAACGGGAGGGGGAAGGGCAAGTGCCCCCCTTGCCCTTCCGGTTGGTACGCCTATGGGCCTGCTCGATCTCTTCTTTAAGGTAATGGTGGCCATAGTAACCCTTAAAGATGTAACCGAGTAGGTCTTGAAACGTTGGGTGCCTAATTGAAATTCGGTTGGAAGTCTTTTTTTTTCATTTATATTTTACCTACATAATATTTATGTTTATTTTCTTGGAAATAATGTATATTGCAAAGATCTCAAAATGCGTCCCACACCCTGTCAGCCTCAAGAAGCGGCCTTTACGAACCCGCCCAAACACAAGACGTCGCAGAAATTCACGGCCGTCGGCTCGCTCGTCTACATGACTAGCGTCACAGCGGTGGGCAGCCTCGCAATTTCGCACATCTGGGCCGTCTCCAACGCGGACGTCCAACCTTTCTTACCTTACATAAGGTAAGAGTGAGAAACGCTCACTTCAACAACCGTGTACATTTTCTTTTTGTTCTTTTTTTTTAATTCACAAAAGTGTTCCCAGAGACAATTCAAACAATCGCCTTAAAGTCGGGAGGTAGGAAGCTTTTGCAGGTGACATGACATCACCGGAGGTCAAGCCACGAGTCTGGAGGGACCCGCCCCCAGCGATGACCAAAACCGCAGCTGTTTTTGGTCACCCTGGATAGTTGGGCTCTCATATGTCTTGTACAAATAAAAATTTTGGCGATCACAGCTACCCTGTCAGTCTCGCTTTAAGCTAGCGCTTACTATAGGGTAAATCCAACTTCGCAATCGGGTCCAAGCCGAACTCACTGACTGGACAAGATGTTCAACCGAACGCTCACTGCGCATTTGTGCCCAATTAGTGTATTCACTTGATCTCGCAGTGCGTGTACTTTGATTATTCTTGGTGGTGTTGCCACAGCCCAGTGAATCTGTACATTATTCCCTGAACGAGGAGCATTACAAAGGTGAATAAGGCCATCGAGATACTTGCGTCCCTCAATGTAAGCCGCCCTAGTGATCACTATATCACTAATTAACGTACCGGACGTGCGGCGTTATCACTAACGTACTGAATTTAACGCATTGAAGATTTCATTACCTTGATAGCTAGTGGTTGGACGTGTAGTCACTCAAAAACAACAAATTATTCTAAGGCTGAATTTCAAACTACATGAGTGTTGGTGTTTATATCTTTTTTTAATATTATATTCTACTTCTTTACAGTGATTCTGGTGGCGATCCTCCTCAAAGCGCATTGTTCGGGTTTGGGGTGATAACAACAGCCATTGCCTGTGAGTTTTTTTTAAATTCAGAACACCCAAATCACTGTCTTCCTTCAATACAGCGAAAGGGGACTCACGAAGAGAGAAGAGCTCCCTTTCTCCCCTTAACTGTCGCCGCGTCTCGTCTCGCAGTGATGATCATCTTCTCACTGCGCTACATTACCGTAAAGGACATCACCAAAGGGACGAAGGATGCCTCGCTCATTCCCTTGTTTAACTACCTCACCTTCGTAGCGGGTCTAGGCGTGTTCCTGGGTCTGGTCATGGTTGTCACTAACGCCACTGGACATCTCCGTCGGGATGGCACATGGGTGAGATCTATGTCTCTCGAGAAAGACGCCGTGCTTAGAGGCATACGAAACAAGTACCTAAACATATACAGGGTGTCACAAAAGAAAATTTACACGGTCTTTTTACCGCAAAAATAAACAAAGCATCGCCGAACGCTCATTCTCCGCCCAAAGGTAGCGCTAGAGGTCACAACCAGATGCCAAAGTTTCAGCCCGATCCGATAACTTAATCAAAAGTTATAAGTGATTTCTTGAAAAGTTCAACAGGAAAATGGCGGCCGACGGAGTTTTCAAACAAATGGGGCTCTATGGCACCAGAAACTGAAAACGGGCAAAAATGGGCTCTATTTTCCCATGGAAATTTTCAGAAAATCACTTATAACCTTTGATTCAGTTATCGGACGGGGCTGAAACTTTGGCATCTGGTTGTGACCTCTAGCTCTACCTTTGGGCGGAGAATGAGCGTTCGGTGATGCCTAGTTCATTTTTGCGGTAAAAAAGACCGTGCAAATTTTCTTTTGCGACACCCTCTACATATTTGTCAGATCTGCCTGGTTAGGAAAAGACTGACAAATACCCTATTAACACTGCCACACTCAACCGGACTTAACTGTGAGTGAGTTCCTACGTAATTGAGCTTAAGGATAGGCGAGAGTAACTGGATAATAATTGGCAATAACTGCTAACAATGGTCTAGCGAAACTGTGGTTTAGAGGGCCCGTCAAACACCCTTAACCGCAGTTAAGTGTTACTTAAGTCATACTAAACTGCGGTTAATGCTGTTCGTGTATTACCCTCTGGCTACACGGGTGCTCTTAACCGCAGTTAAGTGCGTCTGAGGCTAGACTTAAATGTGTTTAAGGGTTCCCGACGAGCATCCTGAACCGGAGTTACGCTTAAACATGGATAACAGCTACTTCCCTTGTTAAACGGGAACCCTTAACCGTAGCTAAGACTCACATAAGTGCCACTTGACTGCAATTAAGGGTGCCCACATAACCAAGGCATAAGATTAGAAACTATAACCAAAGATTTAATAGGAACAAAATTGCCGAAGTTTCACTCACTTTGGCACGGGTCACGGTTCGCGGATGACCAGGGGACCATGTTGGTCTTGAAAAGTCGGGAATTTGGTTTTTGTTAAGACGCTGGTTAAAGTTGCCATTCTTAGTCAAATCTTGCATCGTTTTGCATGTCACGATGATTCCGCTAAACCGCTAACACGTTTGGCCTTTCAGCTTCAGCCTATCATGTTGCCGCACTTGCTGGGTGCCTCGGTATTTTTCGTCTCCGGGTTCAGCTACCTGCTGGGCAACTCCGTGCTCACCTGGGTTCTGCTTCCGAGGTTTCACAACGTCTGGGTCGCTTACGCACGAATTGTCATCACTCTCGTGAACCTTATCTCGTGCATCCTCAGTATCCTTGGTTTCGCCAGTTCTAACGCTTTGCCAGTTTTTCCTTCTTCTTATGCAAAACTTTACTAAAACAACCTAGAATAATCGAAGACTGTGCAAAGCCTCCTCTACTCTCACGCAAAGTCGTCGCACCCAAATGGCGCCAACTCAGAAATTGGGCCCTAGCCCGACGTCAGGCATCTTTCGACGAATTAGCTCGACACGATGCCCAGCCGAACGATGCCGCAGAACTCGTGTCCTGTCCGTGTTTGTGCTCGATCTTACTGCGATGACGTCTGAAACCTAGTGCACGGATTTTGATTACTCTAGGTGGGGTTGCTTAACACGCTTCTAAGCGGTTAACGGGGGAAAATTCTATGCTACTAAGTTTTGACTACTCGCGTACAGAACTCCACCTCTTGCTTGTGTAAATTTTGTAACTCCACATCTTGCTTGTGTAAATTATGTTTCTGCGCGAATAGTGTGCAACATTCATATCTCCGATAATCGCTAGCCTTTTATTGTACCTTTTTAAAATCTAAGTTTTGCTTATACAATTAACTTTTGTCTGTCGTTTAAAATTATACGAAAGAGATTCTGTCGGTAGGTCGTACGCAGATCTGTCTGACCAAACATAAATTTACTTTAACACGGAAGATCTAGAGATGGTCCAAGTTGCAACGATGTCTTTAATGATGACTCGCATATTTTAATCTCTTGACAACATATTCTTCAGCCGTAGTCAAGTACCCGAATGACTTGATGTCGATGAAGCCCCATCCCTATCATCCGAGACAGGTACGCCAGCTGTTCTTATTTCAATGCGAATGGTGTGCGTCCTAGTTTCGATTCCACTATATCTAAGGCAATCAAAGATCGAGTTTTCCTGTTCTGCAGCATATCTTTTGCACTTCAAGATTAAGATTGGAAGCTGTTCAAGCACCTAAACAGCCTACTAGGTCAAAAAAATTAAATGTAAAACAGACGCCAAAACGTTTCACAACTTTGACACAGTTATTGTCGGCCTTCGCGCGACCTAAAGCGTCCCTGTTGTTGGCGTTCCCCGACTGGCCAAACGCCCACTGTCACGTGAATAATTAAGCTTTTATTGACAGTAATGACGGTAATCTCCGATGGTCAAGTTTGACAGCGTTGATTTACGAATGTGATGACTCCAAGATTTCACCGCACTTTTTGCATACACCCGCGACCTTAGTGTTCGCACCTGAGAATAAGTAGCCGGAATCACAGCTTCTGACGTCACGGCGAGGCAAACTCTGGTCGTGCTGTCACAGAGGTAAACTATTAGGGGGCGCCAACAAAACGTCTGTGCGCTAAGACTGGGGTTAAACTGTTTACTCTAAACTTTTCAATGCTAACGTAGCTTTTTCACTGCTCACACGATGTCAAAGCTACTACAACAGACGTAAATGAAAGTCACGAGTTTTGCAGCAATGTGGGGCTTCAGTATGGCAGAAGCTACGCTATCCTTAACAGTGTAGTACAAACTAGTTTGCGCCAAATACGAAAGCCTGCTAAAAACTAGCCAGTGTGGATTATTTGAGACCGGTAACTGCTTGTCAAGTGTCCTTAATGAAAGCATTTAGAAACACCTAAAGAGGGGTAAGGTGAAACATGAGAGTACATGAAGTTTATGTTGAACTGTTTCCACAACCAGGATTTTTCACATTATTACTATTTGTGCAGAACTTATAACATAGTAAAACAGTATTTATCTTTATTTTAAAATATATTGGTGGACGTCTGGGCTGTTAAGTAAAAGTCAGAGGGAATTTGTATTAAAAAAAAGTAAAATAGGCTTACTTGCAAGGAAAGAATCCAATATTGAGAAGTGGGCTCAGACTTATTGCGGATTAACTAAATCCAGAGAAAATAGACATTAGCGTGCTGTCGAGGGATTCACAATTTTATATAATCTTGTTTTTTTACTAATCTAAGCGTATGATGTTCCCTGATTCCGGTAAAACATAATATTTTAAAACTAATTTGTATAACACGAATATTTCGATAATTTATGTTAACCATCACTATTTTACCACTGTTCCTTTGCCATAAAATACTAAATGTCAATAAAAATGACCCCGGCCACGTAGTCTTTTCACGAACACTGTAACCACTAAAATCTTTGGGCATTAAAGCTAAGCCATTATCATTGTATGGCAATACTGACGGTTACTACTCGATAGCGTTGTAACCGAGACTAACTCTGATAGATTTGCCGAAGAACTGATCAATTACCTGGAACTTACAAACGTGTCTATCTGCTCATTTTTTTTTCTTCCTTTTTACCGTTTACAGTGCATACCGTTAAAATATTAATAATATTGTGTAATGTTGATAACTACTTGTATTTGTTGTTCTTTGATTCATCTGTATTGCTGACTTCCTCTCTGTGAGTGTTAATTTATTTTAAACCACGATTATTAGTGTGTTATTGACCCCCCTTGTATAATGCCCTAACGGGCCCTCAAGGAATAATAAATGAATGAATGAATGAATGAATGAAATTCGCGTGCTTAATATTTGTGAGATTCGTATTCTAAAATATCCATAATCCTTAGAAAACTTCTGCTAAGACGCCGGTAATAACATTATTGACATCGATTTTGGTGTAGATTGTGTCGTCCCTCCGTCGTCATATTTCGGCTACAGCCATAATTTGGCCACCTAAAATCATTTGGAGTTCAGGTTAGTTCAGATTTTTAGCGGAGATACCCTTTAACTAAGAGTGCCCGTGTTGTACTTCGTGTTGTTATGCTGTTCATAATTTTAGCATCAAAGCAATGTTTCGATCATTGTTCGCAGTACCCGGAGGGGACGCTGGTGTCCATCCTGGGTGAATGGGCTACGGCAGGAACCTTCATTCTCTACTTGTACACCATGAAGTCCGAGCTCGACATGACGGTCATCGTTCTCGGCTTGCGGAGGCGCCTGAACACGATCACCGGCATTTCAGTCGTCGCCGAATGCTCAAACTCGACGCCGCAGTGCCCCAAGTATCCGCAAGGACCGTTGCAAAAGGACAGTTCATCTCAACGGCGTCCGTTAGACCCGAGTCAAGATCCTCGCCGCGGTCGCTAATAGCTTTTCTCGCATTGCCAACCCATGTAAAGGGACGTCCACACTGAACGTGATTCTTGTCGTCCGGAAGAAGAATCGCGTTCGGTGTGGACGGCCCTTGGTATACTACTACGGGGCCTCTGGGCACGAGCTTTGGGTGGGTGTCACGGATTGAGTCAACACCACCTAGAGTAACCAAAGGACGTGCACTAGGATTTTGATGTCACCGCAGCGAGATCGATAGCAAGCAAAGACTGGACACGAGCTTTGTGTCGGTGTTCGGCAGGGACTCATGTTTAGTCAGTGCGTCGAAGGTCGCTCGGTGTCGGGCTCGGGGCCCAATAGTTTAGTTCGCGCAATTTTACTTTGGTTGCATGCTTTGATTATTCTGGATGGTGTTGATCGACTTGACACTATGACGACGTGTCACGTTTCCGGTAGTTAGTAGCATGTTACTCGAGCCTCAAATGAGTGCTGCTTAACGTGTTACTTACTTGATTATGTGGTCCGCTTCAGCACTCTATCGTAGGTGTAAATAAGTGTTGGCCCACATATCATCTTATGTGTTTCAGTGGTAATGTTCCGATATGCAAGCAGCGAGCCCAGCTTCAATTGCGCCAGTTTTCTTTATGTTGTATGTACGTGTAAAATGCTAACTTTATTATGTATTTATAGCTACGAATAGCGGGAGTGACCTGTTGAATATTTAAACTGAGTTCAACTGCTTCCTGGATCAGTTTTTATTGCCTAATTATGACGGGATGATGATACCCGGTTGTGGCAAGATCACTCAAACCCAAGTTGTGGATATGTGAGAATGGAACGCACTGTACCTATTACAAAAAAAAAAAAAACACGTATTTTTTAGCGGGACAGAAGTACTGGTTTGTTTTCCTGTTCATCGCGGTAGAAGGATTATACCAATAATTCTACTCTTTATTGCGGTAACTTTGTTTTCATATTAACTTATTGAAATGCGTAAAGGGCTTGTAGAAACGTTCCAAAGTTAAGCCCGATATCCGATTCTCGACATTCCAAAGCTGAGCCCGATATCCCTCCATGAAAGAGTTTCGTACAAATTACGATAGGAGCGGCATACCGCGTTGTATACAACCGCAAGTTTGTCTACTTTTCTAAAAGAGAAAAATACTTGAGATCAACGATTTCAAATTGCAACTCAACCTGCAAGAATAACAGCCAGCCAGGCCCGAGTTTCCCGCTGTGAAACGTGAGCCCAGATAGCTCAAACCGAGCCAGCGTATGCAATGGTAGCATCCAGCCTTTTATGTTGTTTTATTGGGCTGCATATAAATGGGTGAGAAAATCGATTGCTCTCTTGCATCATCGCAGTTTTACCGAGCCTCGTTCGTCGTGGCCTGGAACGCATACTGATTACCTATACAGGGTTTACATTGGTCTCTGCGCATCCGGTTGGGCATTCCTAATCATTGATATTACTCCTACAGCACCTGATTACACTGAGTATTGTTTATTGTGTCGCTAGGTATATACTTTCCGACAAAGGTTTTCTTCAGAGTCTCGTTCTTACTTGAAGCCGCTTTAGGTGCAGTTATGAACCGTTTATCTCGTTAGCTATGCAGCATAGCGCTTTGATGCGATAGCTATATGCCTCTACAGGACGCAAACTCTGACCTTCGTTCTTTTTGTTTTGCGTTGATTGCGAAGGAAAACATTTCACTTGGAACAGGCTCGTTGCCACTCGGTCCCAGTTAGAGGCGGATCTCGCACTGGTCGGGCAGAACTTGCGCCTCCGGGCAGACCAAAAATAAACCGGCTGAAAAGCTGTGTGCCTAAGTCGCAGCACGAAACGAATTAATCAACCGCCTCCAGCTCTGTCTCTCGGAGCGCTTGCTTGAGCCAATACGCATTCAGCTTGCTTGCACGACATGTAGCCGGTGCCCATGGCTAAGCCGCCGCGCTTTGCGATTTTTGCTTGCGAGACACATGCGCGGCCGCCCGCACACGCCCTCTTCTGCGCTTCTTGCGTAAGGCGACGGCACAGCGCCATCACTTTAGAACTCGCCTTGCCATATCGGTAACTCTGAGGAAAAAAAAAACAGCATTAATAAAAGCATTGAATCTTGGAACTGAGTCGCCGGCGCTCAAGGCATATTCTTCAAGCCGCTGCGGTCCGCTTGCGGGACGACTTTCTTGTTGTCGTTTTGTTTCTTTAAAGGTTTCCGGATCTGTTCTCGGAAAAAAAAAAGAAGGTTTCGATTTATATTTGGAACGCGGGGATAATGTGTGGGCTTGTGGGAGAGCTTCCTTCTCAATGATACAGAGGTGCGTGCGTACACACTTGGGAAAGCCTTGGCGGGTTTGCTCTGGCTTGTGCCCTTAGTGGAGCGGATGGACATTGAGCTGCGAGAAAATGGCTTCAGAATGAGCGTTGGTGATTGCAGCAGACCGCCCATGATGCCATCATTTCTGCGTCCTCTTTGAGGGAGAGAGAGCCGATTGTACCTACACCGCGAATGCATATCGTGTAATTCGATGCAGCGTTTACGCTACTGTGGTCAGAAGGTTGACGGCTCGTGTGTGTACGCAGCGTTTATTGTTTGAGGCGATTGGAGGTCTTCGGGTATCGAAACCTGTTGCAGTCTTGATTGGTACTGTCCCGGCATTGTTTGCTGTTAAGATGAATAAGGATTATTAACGATCTTCCGTTGCACGAGGTTACGTCGTCGAGCACTGGAAGAACGTACCCAAGACAATAACTGCGATAGATTGTTTTTCTTACGTCAGGGACTTTGGTTTATTTGGCATTGGATGCAGCGCGAAATGATGTATTTACAAGGATCTGACTGAACACAGACGTAGAATGCATTATCTACACTGTCAAAATGGGACGCTCACACAACTCACACAAAGGCCGGCTGACAACAATGGTCAGCATATTAGCATGCATTTAAACATTAAAAAAATAATCCAGGGTGTAATCCAGCCGTGCGGGTGAGTATATACAAGCAAAATGTTAAACATCTCACAGGACAAAGTCGGTCAATTGAAGAGTGTCGATACAGTTCCTTTCCGGTGCGTTCTCACAAGCGGGCACGTCGGTGAACCTTCCGATGAAATCGTTGATGTGCGCAGAGATTAGTCCGGGGTTATTGAGGTGAACGTGATGCGTTCCCTCCACTTCGACACTGCTGAAGGGCTCGCAGGAGGAACTGAATAGGTCTTCGCAGATCCGAAGCATATCGTCCTCCTGGGGATCTCTCCAGTCCTTGGCACTCAGCAGAAGCAGAGGACCTTGGTAGAGTGTCATTGTGTTCTGGATGGTGAGCTGGTCCTTTCTCGTCTCGGACATGGTGTACACTCTGAGGCACCTGCAGAGCACGGCGAGGCCGAGGGTCTGACCAGCTTCGTCTTCGGCTTTGAGGAGGGTTCGCGCAGAGTCCTCGTCCAGAGATCCTCCGGTGACTTCGACCAGGTCCCTGACGGCGGTCTCGAGTGCTTCCGTTCCGTCCTTGTGATACTCCAGGTTGCCAGAGTCCTGGATGTACTGCATTAGCGAGGGGATCATGTGTCCCGGGTTTGTGTTCACAGTGTCCGAAATGCTCAAAGACACCACACATTTGCAGACGTCGGGTCGAAGTCCAGCGTAGTAGAGGGCCATGGTGGCTCCCAGACCGTGGGCCACGACGGCGCAGGAACTCCACCCGAGAAAGTCCAACACGCAATCCATGTCCTCGACGAACTGCTGGTGGCTGTACTGGAAGCCTCTCGGTAGATTGGACGACGCGCCGTGTCCCACGAGATCCACGGCTACGACCCGGAGCGACGGGTCCAGCAGAGGCACCAGGTTCTCGAAGGAGGCACAGTTGTCGAGCCAGTCGTGAACGGCGATCACCGGGACGCCGTCGGGGGGTCCCCAGTCCTTGGCGTGTAGGTAACCGTAACACACGGGGATCAGGAGATCCTTGGACTTGAGCGAACGTCGGCGTTCCATGTCGCTGAACGGATTCGCAGATCGTAAAAGAAGCCTCGTGTCACTTCTCAGAGGAGAATGTACGCTTGTGGGAGCGTCTCTGGCTTTTATGCGCGGGCTGAGGTTACGACTGCGGTGACTCCTCCCTGACCTCCTCTCCCCCGGTTCCTCGTCGTCTCCTTCTTCCCCCTCCTCGTGCACACGCGTGAGCTTTCTTCTGTGCGCAGCTGCGGCGAAAAAACACACTTCTTCGCAGGTGGAAGTGCGGCTCTGAGCCAAACCGACTGGAGGCGACGACGGGAGAGAGCGCGAACACGCGGCGAGCGGAGTAAAGGGAAGGGGGCACGAGCGGCTTGACTTTATAGGCCTTCCACACTGCCACAACAACAACGGTATTCCCCGTCTGCCGCCGCCTCCTCTCTCTCTTTGGTTCGCCCCCTCTCTAAATCACTTTTTTTTCTCTCCCCGTGGCCACCTGAGGAGAGTTACTCCGCTTGGAGCTGTAGGCAAGGCCGCATACAGATGCGAGCCCACCAAGGGCAGGCGGAGCGCGCTGGAAGGAAGGCCGAACCGATGCAAATGTCGTGCAACTTCGCGTCGCGCGGTGTGTCGCCAAAAGGATCTGCGCACGCGTGCGCACACCGTGTCAGATTTGCATCCACGTGACGTGCCTGCACGTCTGCCGTCACATGATTCTGCTGTATCCCCCAGGTTGCAGTGGGGTTGGTTGGTTGATTTCAGTTGCTTGACGCGTCGCGCTGGGACGCGCTTTCGAAACAGGTCGCGGAAAGACACCCCGTTTTTTCGTTTCGTTTTTCGTGAAGGTCAGGGGCACGACTTCGAAGCGAGGCGTTTGGTCTTTTTTGTTTTCATATTTTTTCGGGGAGGGGGGGGGAGGGTCACGTGACCTCCTACGCGTCGTCACCTGGCGTTGTCGCAAAAATCCTGTTCCACTTGTGTTTACAAAGGCCAGAACGGAAGCTAGCCCGTGTTTTTCCGCAGCGGCGGTCGCAAGGTCAGGGCCCTCCCCGTCAGATTCACGTGAATCATCCCACGTGTCATGTGAGCGCGCGCACACACACTCACTTTCACGCATGATTATTAATCGCTTTCCGAGATTTCAGCTCACCGCGACTTCCGATGATTCGATAAACGTTTCCACCAACTCGGGAAAACAAAATCTTCGGCTGACTGACTTCCGCGTGATGATGACCCAAACACGGGCAGGCGCCAGTGGGCGTGTGCAAACTGTGAAACACCCCAACACGTGGATTGGCATTTAAAGAGAAGGGGGGAATCCCGTTCTCCTGTTATGCTCCGTTCAACGCTAAGCTGACAGTCAGGGATAAGCTACGTACTAGATGAAACTAATCGTACGTCTATATTTCGCCACATGATCACGCTCACGCCCATACCTAGGCACAGAGAGAGGGGTCAGGTGATGCATAGGAGGCGGTTCATTGGTCAGGCGAGCCCGTAGCTTCCACCACAGTATCAGCTTGGGGGTGAACGAAGCGTACATTCCTTAGGGGGTGAACGAAGGGTATACTCCGTTCACCCCCTAAGCTGTTAGTGTGGTGGAGCCTACGGGCTCGCCGGACCAATCAACCGTCGCACTTTCGTCCCCTACCGCGCATGGGTAGAGGCCGACGCGTGATCACGGGACGAAAGATAGACGTACGAATTCTCCAACGAGCACGTAGCTTCCACCACACTTTCAACTTAGGGTTGATCGGAGTATAAAAAGGGGAAAACACCGGACGCGTCCCAAGATAACCCGATCACGGAACATTTTGTGAAGGGGGTTTTTCCTTTTTGCTTATTTTCGGACCTCCCTTGTTTACCGCAACACCGGCGGTGGGGGTTTTATTTTGAAGGCCTCCGTGCGTGTCGGTCACTCGTCAGCGCGTGTTTTCGGCACGTGTGGTATGCGTGGAAGCGGCGATAACAACAACGTCATAAAGAGAAAGCAAGATCGTTGGACAGCCGCGCCCCTGGAGCGTCCCGAACGCGTGACAGGCGAAGGCTTTCTAAGTGTGATGCGTTTCCGCGACTCCGAGATCTGTTACGAGCTGCTGCTACTCGGTAATGGCTTCGGCTGCGATGACTGGTCGGTCGGGAGAGTCGTAATATCTAGAAAACGCGCTTTTCTTTATGTGTGTGCATACTTGCGCGTTTATTTTTTTTTATTTTTTCTTTGTATCTTGAGGTTGCGATTCCTTTCTCGAGGGAAAGAAGAAGAATTATGTTCTGCCCACACCGCTTTCTGTCATGGTTAAAGGTAGAGGAATTGATATTATTTCCGTCGCTCGTTCGGACGAATTCCTAAACGGCCAATTGTGATTGTCGCTAAGTGTGTGTGTGTGTGTGGGGGGGGGGGGGGGGGGGCTGTTTGGCGACTCAGCATTCATATTTGGCCATAGGTGGAGTTGATACTCGAAATCTTTATGATCACATTACCAAATAGCTGCCCTAGCAAAAATAAAATAGACATTTCGTAAGAGCACTTGATGGTTCAAAGTAGCAGGAAGTCTTCTTGAGTGTAACGCCTTCGGCTCGTGCTCGGTCCTTCGAGAACAATAAAACTCCTGGCGCGTTCTTTTTTTTTCCTTCGGGGTGAACTTTGTTGATTTGAAATGTGACCTATAGAAACTCAAAGCGACTGCAAACGTATGTACTGAATATGTATCCGAATAGCAAGACGAAGTGTCACTGAAAGCTTTGTGAACCTACTCAGTGACTCTAGCCAGAAGGTTCTGGAAACTATAGTAACTTTGAAAACTGCATAGCGCGGCTGCTCTATACATTTTTTTAAACCAATATACTCTCAAAGGAATAAAGTTCCGAGTCCAAGGTCAAATTGAAAGTCAGATGTTAAGACAGCGGGAAGTTAGCCTGGCAGTTTTGGGCGACGTTGCTACATGCTGTGGATGAGAAATTTTGCAAAATCTAGAAATACCAAATATTTCCATTGTTCTTCTCTTCATCCTAATATCACATATAATGTAACTGATGTTTATAAACGCCAGTTTAGGAGATATTTACGTCTAGAATCTTAGTCGCATAATCAATTGACTATACTTCATTTGGTCATACGTCCAATTGCAGTCGGAGGCACGAACACGTACTACCACGAACAGACACACTAATAGCTGGGGTTGGGAAGAAATTCTCTCAAAGGTAATTGAATATATAAATGCTGGGCTACATGGTAAAGGCAGCTAAAATGCTAATGCTGAAATATATTTGTAAAAGTGTATCGCGATACGTATAAAAAAAATGTCTGAAAAGGCAAATTAAGGGATGCAATGTGCCTCGGAATAAATACAGATGGTGAAATACATGGTTTCGAAGAAAATCAAGACGATGTTAGTTGTTCTTATACTAAGTATGACTATTCCGGTGCACACGCTAGTGTGTACGAAGACCAACGAGAAAAGCATGACCTTCAATACAAAATATGTGTTTGAAATCAACACACAAGTATCTATTGCGAGACGTAGCATTATATTTCATGATTACTTTTTTTTTGGCTCGAATTAAATTTACCGTCGGATTAGCATCTCGTATTTTGCATGATAGTAATATAATCAAGCTATTTCTCTCAACGAACCTTGACGGCAGTTTTTTTTCTCGGCATCTCTCGTATATTTGTGAGATGAAACCACAGGGACCTCTAAATCAATTTTGTGTCCCCCAAACAATATCCAGACATCACCATAAATTTGTCCAATCGGGATACCGCACTTAATAGTGACCTTCCTACAGCGTCGTGCGATGAACCTGTATTTCCTTATCTGTTGGTTGGCCACGCTCACAGCGCCTTCGCTTTTTAGAATCTACAAGAATGGTGGATTACCTGAGATCCGGTAAAACATTTGTTATCTTTGCAGAACACAGAAGGAGGTCATGCGCCCATCAACAACTTGAATTGACTCACTTCATACATAGTACAATGGACCTAAACACCCAGACAGATATTTTCAGATTTCTTCAAAACTTTTGACTGCGTGCCCCAATGCCGTCTAATATCCAAACTTTCCCCGCTTCGCGTTGAAGACTTAACCTTTTCGGGGATCCGAAACGCCTTCCTCCTAAGACAGCACTTCATAGCAACGGGTGACTTTAACTCATCTCTTGCTGACGTAACCTCCGGTGTGCCTTAATAATAATAATAATAATAATAATAATAATAATAATAATAATAATAATAATAATAATAATAATAATAATAATAATAATAATAATAATAATAATAATAATAATAATAATAATAATAATAATAATAATAATAATAATAATAATAATAATAATCAATCAATCAATCAATCAATCAATGTTTTTATTCGTGCCCAGGAACAACCTTGCGGTCTTGGTACAGGTGCACTGTGTTAACATGTAAGGCAGAACAGGGCATAAAGCAATAGTACGGACAACACACGCAACGGACAAGCCCTAGAAAAATACACTTAAAAATTATAAAAAGTAAACACAAAGTCACAACACACGATAAGCTTAATGGTACTACCGCCACCACCAATTGCTAGAAAGAAAAAAAAATGCATTCAAAGTGGGGAATTTCGGCGTAAACGCCGCAAGTTAGTGCATACAGTTCAAATTTAAGTGATGGCCTTTAACGTTTTTACAAACTGCAGCGTGTTATTGTTAAATATGTCGAGTGTTTCAGAAAAAGAAGAATTATAAGTATGCCCAAGTCTGGACACAGGATCGTGGAGGTTGAGTAGACGCCTGTTGCAGAAGGACGCATTTTGCCTTGTTGTTTTTAGAGGAATTTTTAAGAGTACTCTTGACGTCAATACCGTGCAATCAGTGATGGCGTGGACAAGTTTGTATAAAAATAAGATATCGGCAAGTTCTCTCCTACGAAGCAGGGTAGGTAGTGCCACGCTACGCTGAACAGGGACAGGGACATCAGTAGTGGTGGGCACAATGCGCGCTGAGCAACGATGTCTATAGATGGAAAGAAACTTGTTCTGAACCCGTTCTATTTTCGAGGAATTTGTGGCACAAATTCCATTCCATACAACAGAAGCGTATTCAAGCTGTGGTCGACACAATGCACTGTAGAGTATAAGAAATGTGCAGGGGTTAATAAATTCTTTAGTGATGCGGCACGCACTCCCGAGCGTGCGTAGAGCTGCGTTCACGATGTGATCCACATGACTGGAGAAGTGTAAGGTGCTGTCAAACACCACGCCAAGATCTTTGATTCTGTTCATACGTTCCAAAAGGTCTGTCTGAATAACATATGGGAATACAATGTTATGTGTCTTACGAGTGTACGACACGACTTTCGTTTTAGAGCTATTTATCTTCAGGTCATTCTCCCGGCACCATTCTTCAAAAGCATCAACATCTCTCTGCAGCAAAACAC